ATAGTGCAGATGGTTGAAGAAGACATGTATGTTGGAGCTGATAATGTTCCTCAGGAGTCAAGCAGTACTTGTAATTGGCCACCAGGTAGCTTTTGAACCACTGACTTATTCTTTTACTCTGGCTGTTCAGTCAGTCCCTTACTCATGTTCCAGGCATTTAGTCCACGTCTCCCTAGTTTGGCTACAAGGGTACTTCTGAGGTAGTCATCTCACCACTGAGAGCAAAACAGTGTTGTCAAGCCTGATTTGCTTATGGCAAATCTAGGCTGGCTATTCCCAGTCAACTTTATGAGCTTGGAAATGGCTTCCATCTGAGTGTTTTTTCCTTAACTTTCCCAAGAACTGAGATGAGGCAGACCAGCCTGTAGTTTCCATGATCTTCCGGCTTTTTTTTTTTTTTTTTTTTTTTTTTAAGAGAGACAAGAAACTTGCCCTTTTCAGTCACTGAGGACTTTCTCTTGCTCACTGTGACGTCTTAGGGATGATAGCAGCTTTATAGTGTCATCAGTGAGCTCCCTCCCTTCTGGTCCCAGAATGTACCTGTATATCTTCAGCTTGCTTTAGACTTCTCATGTGAATAGGACCCCTCTCCCCAGACTCCTTTGCTCATATACAGTCAGGAAGGCTTAGGAGAAGACCTTACCAGTAAAGACAAAGAAGGCATTTAGAACTGAGACTTTGTTATCTTTTGTTGCTAGGGCACCAACTCAATTCTGTAGATGCTTTTCTTTACCTTCCTTATGCTGTTCATTTGTCTATAAAGTCCTTGTAATTACAACTGCTTATTAGTTTGAACTCAAGTTGAATAAAGTGGATGTATCTGTTGGCCATGATGGTAATGAGTGCTGGATTTCTAGCTGTGACTCGGAATGCTTTTCCTCCATCATGCTGGGAGGACTTTAACACCTCTGCAAAGAAGATCTTGCCACACTTCATATTTCTTCTGTTATCTCATACTTTCTCCCGAGCAGAGAGCCCTTTAACAGTGTATGTCTTCACTTTGTTTGGAAACCCCAGGTGCTTTAATGAGTGAGTGACTGTCACGGAAGCTGCAAGCTTCTTAGCTCTGCTGTTTTCTGTTCCCTCCACACAACTGAACAACCAAGGTATAGCTCTCATGGCAGTTGTTTCTCTTCTTCTACCAGTTCAAGCTTGTAGACCCAGAAAGATCCTCTCCTAAGTCTTGACTCCACAGCTAGAGGTTGTTGGAGCATGTTCTGGGACAGCACACAAGGGTTTTCTGGCTTTCTAAAACCAAAGTGAAGTAACACCTGAAATGAAGAAAGTACTTGGATCAGGTTTTTCAGTTGTCTCTGCCTCTCTGTTAGCACTTAGCACCTGGAAACATTCATATGCTACACTTGAGGAAGCTTTTGGCTAAGCAGACTTTCCTTCACATCACAGTAGCAAAATTTTGATCTTGGAAAAACTTGTGTTACTGTAACTTTATCCCTTTTGTAGGCTGTTCTAACTTAAACCTAATGAAAAGGAATTTGACTTCAGTGTGTCCTGGTTTAATATGTACTTAAGTTGAATAATGTTTGCAGCTATGGAAGGTGATGAACAAAAGAAGCAGAATCTGTTTAGTGACACTGGATTTAAATGTGCTGCCCCCTAATATTTTGCATCTCTTCTTTGTATCCTCTTGTATACTTCTGGTAGGAGCCAACTGAGGTGTGGTTTTTCATGCTCTAAAGAGTAGGACAAGTTGGTATTGTGCTTTTACAGAATACATTCTGCTTGGTTCTTGCTGATTTATTTCAAATTTTTTTCAATGTTTAGTAGATGGTTACCTTTTTTCCTTAAGGTAATACTTCCCTAGGCTGAGTTTTGTAGGCCACTCTTGTCCTCAAAGAATAACTGTGTACTCCAGGCTTAGTAAGAGTGGTACTGGCAGTAAAAATTGGAAGTCTCTAATAGGCTTGTGGCAGCTAATGAATGATACATATGTCTTGCAGCTGTGTCTTGGTCCAAAACGTTTGCTGTCTGCTGTTTTATCTGTGGTACCTGAAAATTCAAGTGAACCATAATTAAGAATTTTTAGAATTACATTTTCCAGAGCGTTGTTTTGTTACATTCTCCTTCATTTATTTTCATTATTGTAGAAAAAATAAACAAACTTATTGGTACAATGCCTGAAACTTTTGAAGAGTTCTATGGTAAAGCAAACCACTACTGGGGAACGGGGTTTGTTTTGGAGCATAGGAGCTGTACAAGTAGCAAAAGAGCAGTGGATCAAGGTCCAAAGTCTAGATAAAATGCTTTCTCAGTAAGGAACGTAGTGATTGCAATTTCTCCATTTTGGCATTCATAGAATCTAGTCCCAAAATCAGAGTGGTAGGGGTTGCAAGGGCCCTCTGGAGATCATCTATTCCAACCCCCCTGCTAAAGCAGGATCACCTACAGCAGGTTGCACAGGATAGCAGGTCCAGGCAGGTTTTAAATATCTCCAAAGAAGGAGACTCCACAAAAAGTAAAGTCAGTATAAAAGCTGTACCTGGATACGATTTACAAATATCCTCTGAAAACTGCTGGCTCTATGGTAAGAAACAAGTGCCTATGCATACTATGAAAACTCTAGTAAGAAATATTTAATGTCAGTTTGTTATACAAATAATTTCATTGTACCTTTAAAGTAATTTTGCTTGTTATGGTACACTAAAATTGTGTTTAGCAATAAGTTTATTTGTATTTACTTTCAGAGTATATAGTAAACCAGTTCAATTCCTAGCCTCTTTTACACAGGATATTCAGATCTCTTTTTTTTTTTTTTTTTTTGGGGGGGGGGGGAAGGAGGGAAAATGTGGATAAAACAAGATTCAAAACCCTATTGCACCTAGATATAGTATAAATGATATGTAATGATGCCAGCTGAAATTGAAAGTCCAATTGTTCTAAATGTCATATGAACACAGACCGTGCCAGATATTTGCACGCTAAAGAGACAGAGCATGGGAAACAGGAAGTGTTAATGCTCTTGTGTGCAGATAAGAAAGTAGGGAAAAGGGAGATTAAAGCTCAATTATTTTTTTGAAAACCAACTAGATCTGTGTGTCCAGTTCAACTGATTGCTCAAAATTTAACGAAAACACTTTTTGTAGTCAGATACCTCTAATCAATAGTAACTTCAGAAAGTCTTGAGTAATGTAGCTGAATAGCAAAGTACTTGCAGAAATTAAATTCAGTAGATGCAAGTAACTGAAGGAAACTGTTTTCAATGAATAGTAAGAAAAATGCAGGGGGGACAAAAAGGAAGAAGTTACCTTAATGCTGTCTGGCATCAAGTCTTGGAGTTGGAAACAAACTGCCATATCGAAAAGCATGAGATGTCAAAATAATGGCCCCCCAAAACACCCATTCTATCTGTGGAGCTTTAAAACCTTTCATCTTTTTTTCTGGAAATGGAGAAGGGAAATAAGAGCTAAAAATGGGATAAAAGATGGTTGTACAGACAATTAAGTAGGTGTTGAAGCCTATTAATTCTGATATTTTATGTGGTTTGAGTTTAGAGGGGGTGCAGTGCTGGGATTTTAGGGGAGGATGTGTAAGGAAAATAATTGTTTCAGCTTGATACTTCCTGTGGTAAATGCTTGTTCTGTCACTTGTTTAGGTCTTAGTTTGAGATGCCAAAAAGCACTAAATAGATCATTTCAGCCTTTGAGAGGAAGAGGAGCCCTTTCGTATCTTATCAGGAGCATCCTTGTGTTACGCTTCTGCTACAAATAAGAACAACCTATTGTAGGTCTACAAAGTCTTGGAAAGCAAGTACTTTGGCTTGTCTTCCTTACTCTGAACCTAAACTGTTTCTCAGTGCATCTCTAATTGTGAATTGCAGTGCTTGTGTAGTAACCTCTCTCCTAATAGAGCCCAAAAGGAGAGTGGACCCTGGGGATACTATCTTGCACGCGAATGATTAGAAGGGAGAAAATGGAAGCAATCTTGATATAATTGATTAGAAGTGATATACTTGAAGGATTTGTAATCAAACATATACGTGATATGTACCAAACAGAACACTGATTTGTGTTTCCTGTTTTACCTTTAATGTATGTCATCTGATTGCTAGCTAAATTATGCCTATGATTAATGGAAAAGCAATCAAGATTACCATAACTACCTGAAAGAACTTCTCATGGACTTCTTCAAGTTAAAAGATGGGGATGAATTAAATGTATAATACTGGAATGTTTATGTTCTAAAATTCCTGTTTCTGTGAAGTAATAGAACTTGCTGTCTAAATTGCTTATGCTGCCACGGTAGTGGAAGCAACATGATGGGAGCAGCTTAACATTTGCTGTAAGCTTTCCGTAAGTCATTCGGTACCCTAAAATTTGACCAGGCTGTAGGCCATACAGTGTAGGGTCTTATCACTAAAAGAAAACTTGCATGGAGATTCTCTTAGCATTCATTATAGTCTTACTGGAATTAATGTTAAAAAGTAGTTCTTCATGGGCAGAAGTAGGTAGGAGACCTATTAGATTTCCCGAATAACCATTGGTGTACTATGTATAAATTTTTCAGTAGCCAATATGCTTTATAGATGCTTTCTCAAAGGTAACTGTCTCTTCTTTTATGAACTCCTGAAGGAAAGAAATGTAAACTTAAAAATCCATGTTCTGAAGAGTGATTGCTTAGTTGTAGTTACCTTGTAGCTTTCTTTTTTTAGATACACATTTGTCTTTGCTTTCTGTTCTCCCTGAAGTGTTTCCATTAGTGCTTGCTACAGTCAAAGCAGGATAGGTGAAATTGGTATCAGAAAAGAATCTACCAGCTTTTATTTCCTGTCACTGTTTTTTCATAATCTTTGAAGTGTTAGCTCTTTGCTGACAGGGTTTAAATAAGGGCGTTGATATGAGAACTCAAGTTCAATTAATGACCTCTAGTGTCCTTTTGTCTTCTTCTGGCTGCATCAGCTAAAATCATCAGTCTCTTTAAACTCCAGAAGACCTGACTTTTTTAATATAGAAATTCTAATGACTTGGTATTTCTCATTTAGGTGCCATATGAAACACTGAACAAACGGTTTCGAGCTGCACAGAAAAACATTGATCGAGAGACCAGCCACGTTACAATGGTTGTGGCAGAGCTGGAGAAGACGCTGAGCAGTTGTCCTGCTGTGGATTCAGTTGTTAGTCTCCTGGATGGAGTAGTTGAAAAACTCAGCGTTCTGAAACGAAAGGTAAGTGGTGTTCTACCTTGTCGTTGTTCTGTTGTTACAAAGTTAACAGAACTAATTTTCTGCAATGCTGTTTGAATTTTCTTTTCAAGATTATACACCTTACAGGTGCTGTAAGGGCCTTAGAACGCACAACAAAACACCAAAACTTACTCTATCTTGCTTCACTGTGCTTCTGAAACATGTCTTGGTGTTCCATGATTAAGTATAACGAACCTCTGTTGAGAAGTAAAATTAATATGTATTTGTAGTCCTGGAAAGGGATTTCTCCACCCACAGAAATGAAATAGTAGCAAACCAAATTGATTTGTATCAATTTCTGCTTGTCTAATGGAAAGGTTTGTGGGGTTGCATTAACTGATCACTTGAGGAGCAAAACCAGGTAGAAGATGAGTCTGAAAAATGTTTAAACTCCAGTGGGGGGTAGTTGAATGCAGCATTGAGGCTTCTGTGAAAAAGAAAGTGCAAGTTGTCCTGGATTGTTACTTGAATGTTTTTTATAAACACTAAATTTGCAGGTTGGAAGGTTCCTAGGGAATATTACTCAAAGCATTTTAAACAAAGTTTAGCAGGATAACATGCTTCTAGCTATTAAGCTTGAACACTTGTATGAAATACAGCCAAACTTTCATGCTTTTACCACATCTGTCTAAGAAGAATGAGTTAAAAACATAAACTGTATAGCATAAGCCATCCTTATTTTGGATGGGAATGTTACTCAATCTGAGACTCATCAGAACACTTACTTGAAACAAATCTTGCAGAAAAATGAAAATAGCTCTGTTGCCTGGCTTTAGAGCAGTGCTTCTCCAAAAATAAATAGATGAAACAAATGGTAGCAGAGCCATTTCATTAAAACTGAAATGAAATAACCAACAGATATAAATCTTGAGACTATATTAAGTGAACCGTCAAAATACCTTGGAGGTTTGTAATATGAAAGTAACGCTGTCGTGTGTGTTGATTTGGGGTTTTCTGCATGAACAGGTTAGCTAGGTGTTGAAAAGCTGATCTGCAAAAGACTTCATAAATCTAATTGCTGTTTTCATCTTTGATTTGTGAGACTCGGAGGTCTTGAAGGATATGTTTTCTTCACTTCTCTGTTACTTACAGAAATAAATTATTTCTGAAAGAGGTGTTAGATTTTGCTTGTAGGTGTGTAGTAATGATGTGGAGGAGTAAGTTATTTACTTGTTAAGTCTTTGCTGACTGTGGGGGTGTGTCTGAAGGCATTGCTGAATGTTTTGGGTGCAAGGCTCCATTTTAGTGTAATTGCTCATTTGTTTCTGACTGCCCAGAAGACTGTGGGGAATCTTATAGCTGCTCAGAAAGAACAAAAGGTAAAAAAAATATGTTTAACAGTAAAAGTCTTCTGAAATACAAAGGTCTTGTTTCTGCTCCAAACCCTCAACTCCAACTGTCTTCTGTCATCTCTGCCCTGAGCAAAATGACTGTTTTCTTTAGGGCCTTTGGACCTATGTGGGATCTCTGTTTCCTCCTGTGTTTAGACAAGGATCTGATGAACTGCTGAGATGGCCATAATAGAATTAGATGGTTCCTTTATTTAACACCTTACTTGCTCTTAAAAAAAAAGAGCTTTTCAACACAGCAGGTTTCTTGGGTTTTGAAAATGATCCTGGGGAAACCTAGGCCTTTGTTTTCCCTTTTGTATCCTGTTTAATATGCTTGTTCCCTCAAGTTCTGTTAATGTCCAGCAGGGCAAGTCCAGATAGACTTGCTTCAGAGGGTTTTGAAAAGGATCTGTAGCCTTTCTGAATGCACTACAAGGATCAAAAACACAGCAAGAGCTGTGGACACAAATCCATATAAGGAGAGCCCTTTGGAACGAGAAGGGGCTCAACCTTTGTGCCTGGCTGCCTTGAATTCTTCTAGTTGTTTTCAGAATAATTCTTGAGGTTGCCTTCATATCTGATAATACTGCAAATATCTAACAAGCAAAAGTGAGTTTTGGCTTCAGTTAGTGTTTGCTGAATAGGAAAAACTCAGTTTAGAACTTAAACAAAATACTGTTCTTCAAACCATATGTTACAAAAGAAAGCTAAATTCAGTAAGAGAAGTAACTCAGTCTTCAGTAATAAAAATAACTCAGGCTATAGATGTTTACATGAATTATAGTAAAAGACTGTCTTGTATAGTGACTAGGGTTTTCGATACCTGAATTTGGTATCGAGGGCTTGATCAGAACCGGGCTTAATTGGGACAAATGCTTGGTAGGCTTTTCTTACACAAGTTTTCATGTATTTCACTTTGCTTCTCAAATATCAATCCTACCAGAAGTAATCTGTAAATGAGCATACATGGTAAATGCAATTGGAACCAACCTGTGCTTCCAGAGCTGGAGCTGTTATCCAAGGATGCTACCATACCCCAAGTAGCTCGAGTACTGGGAAGGTAGCCGTGCCAGTGCAGAGTGCAAAGTGGGCTGCCAAAAGCCAGCCAGGTTACCTGGTCTGTGCTTGGTTGACAAACCTGAGTGGACTTTCCTATTGCCAGAGCTGTGCAGTTATTCAAACGCAAGCCAGCGAGTTTAAAGTCACCACAAGTAAGGCAACCCAACCTGAAATTGCATCACTAGTGATAAATTGCAGATGGGAAAGGTACTAAGCCTCCATTGTCTTCTGGTTTGCTTTTACCTTACCAGGCACATAAAAGTACTGCGAGCTTTCTTGTGTTCTGTACCCTGGCATGACCCACAATTGTCACATGCTGTATACTGAGTCAGCTAGCTTTGAATTACAATACGTCTATAATAAAATTGCTTGGTAAAATTTTCAGCATAACTAATCAGCCATATAACTTTAAGGTTGAAGGAAAGTAAGTATGACCTGAGTGTGCGTGTTTTCACTTTTTAAAAAAAAAAAATGTTGTGGAGATCTTTTTGAGTCTGTTTTGTACTGGGCATGTGGTTTTTTTAAAAAAAGTCTTTCTGTTTCCTCTGGACAAATTTATTTCCTAAGCAAGGCTCCTAACAGTAGATCCATGTTTCCAGAGTAGCAAAGGTAAGTAAAATAATGCCAGTTTAACAAAGCTGGTGAGTTTTGAAAACTACTCTAAGATCCTTGAATTAAATGTGCCAAACAGCCAAATGTTTATGTAATTTTTATTATTGCATGACTGATTAAAATGGCTGCAGTGTATTAGAAGTAATGTGGGTTTACTCTGCATCACTCCTCAGTAGAACTAATTCAGC